AAGACAAATTCCACATACCGAAGAGAGACAAACATTGTTAGAAGCAAACAAGAGTGTATATGAACTGTTCATAGATGAAACTGACTTTGAGTGTTTAGATGAAAGGTCATTGTACGATTCGTATAAACAGTATTGTCAAGAGTATGGTTATATGACAGCGTCTAAACGAACATTCTTGGCAAATGTCAAAAGTCTTTTAGACGTACAGAATGGTGTATATACAAAGAAAAATTTTTCTGAGTAAATTTTAAAAAAAAATATTTTTTTATCCGATAGAAAAGATGACGAAATTCATCTCAGTCAACAAGTACATGTCAGGACTTAAAGAAGAACTAGACCCATTCACATATTTGAATGTTTACTTCTACCATTTTGAAAAGTCTCATTTGACAAAGTTTGGAACATCGAACCAGTTAAGTTGCTATTGTGACTAAAAATGGTGCGAAATTTGAAGACTTAGACATAGGGTTTGTTAACAGTCAAAGAAAGTTTTTGACAGAAGGTTCTCAAACTTCGAAGAAAGCATACAAACTTGTTTACCTTATGAACCAAAGAAAGCAGACGACTATGAATATTATGAGTCTAAGATAGTTGAAGTTCAAGGTAAATTGGGGTAAAAAGATTTTAGAGTCTAAGCCAGTGTTTGCTCCTAAAGAGGAAGAGAACATTGACATTGACCCAGAAATGTTCTAAAAATAAAATTTTTTTTTTACATTGTCATATCTCCCCTTCTCTGGTTCAGGTTCTTTCTTTCTCTTCTACTTTCTTTTCTTCTTTTCTCTCTTCTTCTTCTCTGGTGGAGTTATGTCAAACTTCTCAGAACCATATTTTTGTAAAAGTGCTTTGTCATTTAATAGCTCTTCTATTCTGTTTTCTATTCATTTCAAGAACAGCGCATGTGTCTTCTTTGCATTCTAAGAAGTTTTGTTGGACTTCATCTCTCCAAGAGGCGTCATCTCTGTCAACAAGTCTGTCATTGACAAATTTTAAGACTTCTCTGCTTAATGTTTTATGGTTCTTGTCATATTCCCAGAAACAGAACTTTAGAACAAATTCACCTTTCTTGTTTACACTATGTAAGATTTTATGGTCGACAGATGTTTTGCTGTCGAAAAGCTTGTCTCGAATATAGATAGCGAAATCGCTAGACATTTCCTAAAAGATAAAAATTTTAATTTTTTCTAAAAATATGTTAGAAAAAAAGTTTGCTGACATTGACAAGAAATTTGAGAATGTTTTAAATAAGAACAAGAGGAAGTTGGAAAATGCTCAGATAAAACCCATACATGACAAGTTCTTATTTGCTCAGAATGGTATAACAGGTCTAATTGCACCACCTGGGTCTGGTAAGACTTTCACTTATCTTAAAATGGCTGCACAACAACAAGAACTAGATGAGAAGAACCCATTCTATGAGTTAGTAGTCATTTGTAGTACTTCGGGTCAATTTGACCAAACCGTCAATTCGTTCAAAGATATTATTAAAAAGTCTAAGTTAGTATGTATAAAAGACTCTGAGTTGTTAGATTGGATAAAGAGTACCAAAGAAGAGTTTTGAAGTACAATGCTATAAATGAGTATGTCAATTCTAAGTTTAAAGACCCAAATGAGGAAATGCAGAGAATATTAGAGAAGAAACACTTCAGAAACAAACAGAAAGAGATAAATACATTTCGAAGAAATTGCAATCTTACGATTGGAAGACTTACCCTCATAGATGTCTTCTTATCTTAGATGACTTTGCTTCTCATCCTTTGTTAAAGAACAGAGAACAAGACATGTGTCGAATTCTTAAGAAGCTCAGACACTTTAACATCTCTGTTGTCATTTGTGTACAGACAGCAAAGAGTTTAAGTAAGGATGTAAAGAGAATACTTACTGACATTGTACTTTTCCCGGATTGTCCGAAGACGATTTCATGGAACTTATGAAAGAGTCCATGGCAGGTAAGTTTGACAGACATGAACTATGGGAGAAGTACAAAGTCATACAAGACCCTCATACTTCTTTCAGAATTCATATCTACGCAAACAAAGTTCAAATTGTAAAAAGTCAAGCGTAAAAATGTAAGTGTTTGAGTCTTAGTCTGTTGTGGTGCTGGGGCTGTCGGTTCTTCTGGCTTTGGAATGGACTCGGTTGGTGGTACGTCAGTCATCCGTTTGTGTCCTGTCGGATGGAAGGACTTTTCCTGTCGGAAAGAAAAACTTTTCCTGTCGGAAAGAAAAATTTTTCCAGTTGTCCGGAAAAATTTTTCCTGAAGGTCGGCCAAAAAGTTCTCAATTTTCGAAAATTTGAATGGTTTACGGACGAACAACAGGAAAAATTTTTCCTGTCGGAAGGAAAATTTTTTCCAGTTGGAAGGAAAATTTTTTCCAGTTGGAAGGAAATTTTTTTCCTGTTGGAAGGAAATTTTTTTCCTGTCGGATGGAAGGACTCGGAATGCCAGAAGGACTCGGACAAGACAATTTACCATCTAGAGCTACCTGAGCCATCTTTGGTGTCAAGCTTGAAAAATATATGGTTCATTTACTCTTCCTCTTTGAAGTTATCGAAATACTCTGTTATTTTTTCTTTCAGTAGCGGTAAATCTTCTTTGAATGTAAGTATTGTACAACCTTTCATATCATAGTGTGTTTGAGGTAACGTATCTTGAACTATCTGTTTAACATCTTCATTTGGGTGTCATTGAAATCGGTAAGTTTTCGCGATAGAACCAATTTCTGTCAGATTTGTAAATCTTAGCTAAGTCGTAAAAGCTTTTGTTGTTTCTTCTGACTAAATGCAACATAACCATATCTCTGTCTTCTTCATTTTCCATCTCTTCAGTGTAAATCATATACTTATAGTTCTTTCTTTTCCTTTTTTGGTACCGAACGTGGTATTCTTTTCTGTATGTTTTTGTCTTTTGCTTCAAGCTTGTTCTCTAGCTCTTCACGTTCTTGTCTATGAATTTCATCTAACATCATGAAAATATAACAAGCGTAACGAGGTGAAGCCCACATTGCAACAGCATTTACAAGAAGTCTATGTACATACCAACCTCTCAAACCATTTGGCAAATTTTGACGATTTTCGTACGGAATCTCGACCCGCGGTTTTCCGCGGGTCGCAAACATATGAGGAAATTCTTCTAAAAGTTCTTTTGTCTGTTGGTTTTCAAACCAATGATGTGCTTGCTTTGTAGAACGAAGAGCATTCAAAATACTTTGCATTTGGTACATGTCATCTTTGACCGAACGAATGAGACGTAACTGTTTGTTAAACTGTATGTACTCGTATTCTTCACTTATGGCTTCATGAACGATAGCAGTTGTTGTGTTCTCTGATGTTGACATTACTGTCTTTACATACAAAATAAAAAAATAAAATAAAAATAAAATTAGCGTTATTTTCTATCTTGTATAAAAGACCAAAAATAAACGCTTTACATGTATTTTTCAGCAACTTCGTCAAATACTTTTATAGCTTTCTCTATCTCATCTACTTCGAAAGTTTCTTTACCTTTCGTGGGAGCACCATACCTTTTCTCAAACTTTTCAAGTAGTTCTGTTTCAGCAGCTCTCATATCGTTAACGAACGCAACCTTGACTCTATTGACTATACTGTCATATCTTTGAGTTATATTATATGTTCTTCCTATCTTATATCTCTTTGTATTGAAGTCCTTCGGTTTCTGAACGATGTAAAGTAAGCCTTCACTGCAACGTTCCGTATCGAATGAACCATATGTTATGAAATTATATCCAACAACTGGGTCTAACCATAACAAAACTACTGGTATAAGACTTTTGTCGATGAGATATGCTGTAGTTCCATAGAATCTTACCGATATCAAAAGCTCAGGATTTCTTGTCAAAATTTTCTGAGTTGAAGCATTTCTAACCCAGTCCTTTGCTCTCTTTCCAGATAGTGTTAAAATGTCTGACAAAGAATATTTGTTGTATTTCTTTGAGTATCTTACGTTTAAATCACCTATTCTAACCACCTTGGTCTCATTGTCTATCTTTTTAACTGTTTCAAACTCAGTGTTTGTCATTTCCTGTTCTTACATACAAAATAAAAAAATAAAAAAAAATAAAACTAGCTTTATTTTATTTTTTCTATCTTGTATAAAAGATATGATTTCATAGAGTTTTTTTACGATTTTCATGAGTTTTAGGCGACCCCGGAAAAAGTCGGGGTCGCATTTTTTCACTGTTTTCATAGAGTTTTTTTACGATTTTCATGAGTTTTAGGCGTCCCTCGGTTTTCCGCGGGTCGCATTTTTTCACGATTTTCATAGAGTTTTTTTACGATTTTCGTACGGAATCTCTACCCTCGGTTTTCCGAGGGTAGCAAACATATGAGGAAATTCATGAAATTTGGTCATTTTTTCAGCAAAAATATATTTTAGGCGACCAGGTCCCTCGGTCCCTCGGTCAACTAACATCTTTTTGAAAATGGTGACAACATGACATTTTGACAACAACACAGGAAATAGATTTCATCGTACATGTTTTGTCATGATTTCATCGTCAATGAGCGTAAATCAGACAAAAATATATTTTAGGTGAAGAGGTGAGATCTCACCTCTTTTCTCACCTCTTTTCTCACCCCATATGTCCTTACTGAAAAAGTACGTGTTCCATATGTCATTTTACTCAGCAAAAATATATTTTAGGTGAAGAGGTGAGATCTCACCTCTTTTCTCACCTGTTTTCTCACCTCTTTTTCACAAGCGTCTTACATGAATTGTACGATGTATATTTGAAATCCTAAACAGTTTTGTAGCTTCTATTTCTTCTGTCAGTATGTCAAAAGTTTTAACAATGCCGAAGGTTTCTTTATATTTCTTCTTGACATCAGATAGAAGGAAATCGTCAGCTGTTGGATAGTTTTTGTTCAGAAATGCTAACATGTCCATTTTATCTTCTGCTGGTTTCTCTACTTCTTTCTTTAAGTCAGCATAGTCGTTTCGCATACGTTCTATCTCTTTGACGGAGTAGTTATATTTCCTCATTGCTGCTTTACATTTTGAACATTGTGGGTTCATTTTAGCATTGTACATTGAAATAAAACCTGCTAAAACAACTAAGGCGTCAATGGTTTTCTTTAACTCAAAAGTTGCTGGTTTTATCTGTTCGTTCCATACCTTACCTCTTTTATCTTTATCTCTTATCTGCCATACACATTTTGCAACTAACGAAACAAAGTTGTCGTAGGTCTTAAATTCTTCAGATTTGTATATGTCAGAGATGTTCTTATATAACATATCGCAATCTTTGTCCATGACTTTGTGGTTGCAATGAAATCCAAGAAACTCATAGTTTACCTTACGTATGAACTTCTTGGTTTCTACTGAGTCAGTTGCTTTGACTTCTATTTCATCGAATTCAGGAATAGTAAGCTTTTGTTGTTGTATTTCAGGAAGTTTAGGTAGATGGTCAATAATATCCTGCATTTCATAAAGATATTCTTCATTTGTTTCATCTTTTGCACTACAGTCTAAAACTCCTTGGAGAAGTTCTTGCTTTATCTTCTGGATTTCTGTTTCGAAAGTATATGAAGAAGGAATGAAGCTTTTCATCTCTACTAACATTGAAGTTGGGTTCATGACTAACGAGTTTGGTGCTGTTGTTGCTAACATGTTCTTACAATAAAAATAAAAAATATTTTTTTTAAAAAACTAACTTTTTTTATTTCGGGAAAATTCATGAAAATTCAACGGGTGAGAAAAGAGGTGAAAAAAGAGGTGAGATCTCACCACTTCACCTAAAATATATTTTTGCCGAAAAAAATGAGCTTTGGTTGAAAAAACAGGTGGAGCCATTTTTGGCTCGACCTCAAAACAGGCATTTTGTGAAGAATATACCAACCCGCGGAATTCCGGCGGTTGCTTTTTATACAAAACATTGACGATGAAAGTCTTGACAAAACAGGCATTTTGTGAAGAATATACCAACCCGCGGAATTCCGGCGGTTGCTTTTTATACAAAACATTGACGATGAAAGTCTTGACAAAACAAGCATTTTGTGAAGAATATACCAACCCGCGGAATTCCGCGGGTTGCTTTTTATACAAAACATTGACGATGAAAGTCTTGACAAAACATTGACGATGAAAGTCTTGACAAAACATTGACGATGAAAGTCTTGACAAAACATGTACGATGAAAGTCTTGACAAAACAAGCATTTTGTGAAGAATATACCACCCGTCGGAATTCCGGCGGTTGCTTTTTATACAAAACATGTACGATGAAAGTCTTGACAAAACATTGACGATGAAAGTCTCAACAAAACATTGACGAAGAAATCTATCTCCTGTGTTGTTGTCAAAATGTCATGTTGTCACCATTTTCAAAAAGATGTTAGTTGACCGAGGGACCGAGGGACCGAGGGACCTGGTGAGATCTAAAATATATTTTTGCCGAATTCAATAAAAAAAATGGTTCATTTACTCACAATATTTTTGTACAAAACGACCCCAAACTTTTAACCTCTCTTCTGCAGCTTCTAATGAAACTTTAGCGAGTTCATATTCTCTAAATTCTCTCTTTAAATCTTCTTGTTCCCATTGGTCTAGTTCGTATGGAGAGTCTCTATAACCAGAACATATCTCATGTTCATGTTCTATTTGTTTTTCATGCATTTTTCTAACTTCTTCTTCGAACAAAGGTTTTGCATTCTCTACTGTATCTTCAAGTTCTTCTTCATCTAATTTCTCATGAACTTTCTTGTCTATGGAGTCCAGAATTTTTCCAACTGCTATGCAATATTTTGGAGAAGCCCACATTGCTATATAGTTTACGAGTCTTGGGTCTACATACGTTCCTCTAACCTGTTTGATTTCATCGGGAATTCCTGCATGAACTGTGTATAAAAAGCAACCCGCGGAATTCCGCGGGTTGGTATATTCTTCACAAAATGCCTTAAAATACTCTTCCCAGGACTTATTTTCCAACAACCTTCTAAAGTCTTTCCTAAACTGCTGACATATCTTTGTTGCATTTATATAACCATCCTTGTCTCTACGTAAGACTTCAATACCGTTGTAAGTGCCTTTTGTGAATGTTTCGCCATTAGATTTGTTCGTGAACGTTTTTGCTTCGACTGTCATACTGTTCTTACAATAAAAATAAAAAATGTTTTTTGGTGGGACGTCGGACATTCGTTTGTGGCTTAACCGTCGGACATTGTCTTGAAACAGTACAAATATTGTCTTGAAACAGTACAAATATTGTTCTGAAGCAGTGCAAATATTGTCTTGAAACAGTACAAATATTGTCTTGAAACAGTGCAAATATTGTCTTGAAACAGTGCAAATATTGTTCTGAAAAAGTACAAGTATTGTTCTGAAACAGAAAATTTTTCTCACAAATTGAGAGCTTTTACGGGAAATTTGTTCTGAAAAAGTACAAGTATTGTTCTGAAACAGTACAAGTATTGCTCTGAAACAGTACAAGTATTGTTCTGAAAAAGTACAAATATTGTTCTGAAGCAGTGCAAATATTGTTCTGAAGCAGTGCAAATATTGTTCTGAAGCAGTGCAAATATTGTTCTGAAGCAGTGCAAATATTGTTCTGAAGCAGTGCAATGGACAACATCGAGCCACATTCAATACTTTTTCAGCACTTTTCCGTAGTTGTATATGAAAGACAATTCGAGATAAAAGTCATAGTATAATGGAATAATATGCTGCAGACCGTTTGTTGTGAACCAAACTTGAAAGTCAGAGAAACTGTTACTAGGTGGTTCGTAGAATTTAGAAGCAAAGTCATAGAAGTCCTTACCGATACACAGAAAACTGTTGTTGCTTGAACTGAAACTTGCATGACACATGACATTTTGAGGGTCAAACACGTTTCTATAAACTGTCAAATCTGCTGGTGGAAGTATAAATTTAAATGGACCATCTGGTGGTAATGGTTCGTTCTGGTTTAGTAACCGAAGAAATTGTGCCCAAGAACGTTTGTCTACTCCCCAATATAAAAACTCTGTATCTCTTGGAGGGTTAATTTCAATCTTTTGAAATGAAACGGTGGAATTCATCTTGTCGTATTCTAGCTTCAGATAGTATGTTCCATTTAGTAAAGAGTGGTATTTTTCTTGAAATTCCCAGTAGTATTTGTTTATTTGAGTTTGAAAGTCATTTAGAGTTTTTTCAAGACTTTCGTCTGAACGAATTGTAAAGATTTTCATTTCGTCAAATTTTTCTATTAGACCGTCAGAACCTTTATACTGACCGTGAAAATATACTGCGAACATGAATGCATTAGTTCTATTTGAAAACAAAACTCTTCTAAATCCTATTGCCTTTGCATCTGAAGGACTTTGAAGCCAACGAATTGGATAGTCAAACCTGTAAGATCGGGATGAAATTTCTTCATCTGAAATATTCCTACCAGCGTTTGTAAAGATATAGTCTAACGGTTTTGTATCTGCTACTTTTGTTCTTTGTTTTTCAACCTGAAGCATTTTATATATGTAAAAATATACTGTTTTAAAAACGTTTTAAAATGGTATGCAATGTTTTATTTCATGCAATGTTTTATTTCATGCAATGTTTTATTTCTGTGCCGTCTTCAAGTATTCCCCAGTACTTACGTTTGGAGAGGACATGAACTTCGGAAAATACCTTATCTAGCTTAAAACAGCCCATCTTTTCACCGACCATTCCCATTTCAATGAGTTTGTTGTATCCTTCTTCGTTCGTCATGAGCGCGTCGATGTTCTCATAGTAAACCACAACTTTGGATTTGACTTCGGAGAAGAATTTGTTGTAGTTGTCAAGGACTGCCTTTGCGAACTGAGGGTAAGACCAATGTTCGACAATAGGTTTTAATGTGGTTACTAAGCCACTTTGACCTTGAGTGAACTCGTACTTCAAAACAAAAGGAGAAAACCTTTCAACAAAGTTGTCGACCTTCTCATAGTGTTTACTCTTCATCTTTTGAGGTTTCTTAATGGAATATCCCCATGTCGAATTCATAAGCAATTTGAGTGTCATTGCAAGTTTGGGGTTTGAAGCTTTCCTAATATCATACATTTGTTGTATGACTTTTCCAACTGTATAGTTCCTTCCCGGGAACTCACCATCTTCGTTTGGAATTCCAGTCGGGATATATTGGACAAACCTCATGTACGCAGCGTTAAGGTCGACATAGTATATCTTTTCGTTTGAGTCGAACTTGTCGCATCCAATGGGTCCAGTTCGTGGAAATTCAAGTGAGTCTCTTATCTTTTGAGAAACCTCGCCTGTTATCTCATAAACATCGTCAAAGCAACCTGTTTCATATAAAACCTTCTGACCTAACTCAGATGCTCTCCAATACAATTTGACGTCGACTGGATGTCTCAAATGAAGTTTGTTTATAGCATCTTGAAGTTCTTGCAACCTCATTGGAAGTTCTTCTGGTTCAGGTTGGTATCCGAACAATCCAACTCCTTTTGGAACTGTGTACTTCTTTTGTGCTATAACTTTGTCCGGAACAATTTTTGGTCTCACTAACAATGAAAAGTTTGTTTCGTCTTTTGGTACAAAAGTTTCTGTCAGCTTGTCATCTGGAATTGGTTCCAACAAGCCTTTCTCGAAAAGAATGTTAACAGCTCTGACAATGTTGCACTTGCCTTTTCCGAACAATGGGTTTGTAAGACTTTCGTTCAACATGAAGTGGTTGTGGACAAGTACAATCTTCAACCATGGCAATTTGAAGTCAACAACATAGTCGTCGTGTGAAGAACCTTTCTCAGTCGGAATGTTGACGCGGATATTGACATTTGCCAACGGTGCAATCTTTGTCAATTGACTTCTGAGAATGTACCTTGTTTTCACACATGACTCAAGATACTTCATCTTCTCATCTGTAACAAGACCAGAGTTCCTGAGACATGTAAGAATACAAGGTTCATTGACAATTGTTTCAATTGAATTGTAAATTCCATACCTTGTTAAGTCAATGTCAGACTTATTTCTGAAGGGGAAGTATCCAGCATGTTGTCTGACTGCTTGAGGGTTAGGTTGGTACCATTCGAACTTCACGCTTGCAATTCCTTCAATTGCATTCAAAATATCTGAGTCGGAGTCAACCATTTGTTCTCTCTTTGTAGTCTTGAAAGCGTCAAGAAGTTGTGCGGCTGTTGTGACATTGCCATGTGCATAGTAAATATGACCATCTAAATCTGTTACGGTTAGTCTGAGATTGTATCCTTTCTTATTTCCGTCTTGTATGGCAGCAAGTACACCCATGAAGCCTTCTTTGTTCTTTCCTTTGTCAAAGTTTACTGTAAAGGTTCGCCCAGAAGTAATTTTACTTCTAACTTCACGATACTTTTCATATGCATATCTTGTTCTTTCCATGGGAGCATGTGCGTCTTCACCCTTCCCTTTTTTCCGTCTCAAGGGATGCAATTGTTCGTCATGTTTCCAGTAGAATCTGGCAAAGCCGTCGTGTCCTTCAACTTGAGGTTCACTAACATCGAAAGGCATGTCCATAAGCCGTTCTTCTTCTAACCTCTCTAGTCTGTTTGGATAATTTGCGCGTGCTGTTTCTAGGTCCATTTCATAGCGAAGACCAGACAATTTGTCATAGACTTTTATGGGTCTTCCCTTCCTATATTTAAACTTCTTCGAAACTCTCCAACCATA